AGAGACAGGGGGACCTCATACCATCAAGAAAGCAGTGCCAGGAGCAGAGCGCGTCCTTTTGACTGGGGTCCCTGCGCAGAGAAGCTCCTAGTCCAGGGGAACACCGAAGAGAAGAAGGCCGGCAGAGAGAAAAAGGCTTCCCCTGGAGCTGACACCCTGAATTTGGACTTTTAGCCTACTTTGATTGTGAGGAAATAAACCTCTCTTCGTTAAAACCATCCACTTGTGGAATTTCTGTTATGGCAGCACTAGATGACTAAGACACCATGTACTGAATACCACCAACCCAGGAAGCTCACCCAAACTTTGGTGCCTAGAGTTTTTATTGGGGTGTCATTATATGAGCATGATTGTCCAAGTGGTTAAACTCAATTTCCAGCCCCTCTGTAGCCCCACCCCATCTCCAAAGGTTAAGCTGATACCTCATGGCTCAGAGCCCCAACCCTGTAATCACATGGTTGGTTTTTCAGTGTGGCCAGCTCCCATCTTGAGTCATTTCCTTAGCATAAACTATCAAAAGGCCCACCATGAATAACAAATATACTCCTATCACTTGTGAAATACCAAGGGTTTGGTGAGAGGTTCAAGTCCACCCAGAAGTGCCTAGGAAGAAAAGCCTAGCAATCTACTTCTAAAAAATCTGCTAGGGAAAACCCTGTGGAACATAGTTCTACTCTGACGCACATGTGGTTGCCATAAGTCAGAAATGGCTTGGTGGCAACTGATGGCAGCAGAGGTTACCTCTCAGGAACCAGGGACAAAGGCCAGAAAAATTCTTTATTATGTAAGGACTATCTCTCAAATGGTTCAGAATTCAGGAGATGCAAAAAAAAAAAAAAAAGCTTGTAAATAATTATCATCCTCAAATCTCAGAATCTGGATTTAAATTTACCCCATATTCCATTGCCATTGAGTTGATTTGACTCAGAGCAACCCTATATGACAGAGTAGAACTGTCCCACAGGGTTTCCAAGACTGTAATCTTTACAGAGCAGACTGTCACATCTTTCTCCCACAGAGTGGCAGCTGAATTTGAACCGCCAACCTTTCAGTTAGCAGCCCAGTGCCTAACCACTGCGCCACCAGGGATCTTTAAATGTTGTTGTTGTTCGGTGCTGTCGAGTCAGTTCCAACTCACAGCAACTCCATGTACAAAATAACAAAATGCTGCCCAATCCTGCATCATCCTCACAATCGTTGATATGTTTAAGCCCACTGTTGCAGCCACTTTGTCAATCCATCTCGTTGAGGGTCTTCTTTTTCACTAATTCTCTACTTTAAGTGAGAAGAAATAAAATCCTTTATAAAGATGATGCCTCCTACTGTAAATCATCCAATCTAAGATAGCTATGGTTGTACAATATACCACTATTTTATGTACCACTAAGAAAAAGTTCTCCATTTGAATATTTCATGCCATCAATTACATGCCGCTTCCTGTGAGTCAGAATCCACTTGACGGCAAACAACATGTGAGTGAAATGTGCATCTTGCAATTGACAAAATGCAGCTTCACTCAAAAGAGGCTCAAAAACTTCCAGACTCATTTACAAATACCAGCAAATACCCATTGCTGTCAAATTGATTTTGACTCATAATGACCCTATAGGACTGAGTAGAACTGCCCCATAGGGTTTCCAAGGAGCCGACGGTGGATTCGAACTGCCAACCTTTTGATTAGTGGCCAAGTTCTTAACCACTGTGCTACCAGGGCTCTGCACCAGCAAATAGTAGGGTAAAAAAAATGATAATGTAGTATTTCGTTGAGATTTCTTACTAAAATAATGAACCATCATAGTCCAATTACAATTTATGTAACATTATAATGATTCAAAGATTCAATGCAGGTATTTTATGGGAAATTTTTATGTACATTTAAGCATATATGCTATGTATTCACAATTACGTTATCCTAACACATGTGACCTCCCAATACAATTGATTCATTTTTGTAATAAAAATAGGTACAAAACTCTTACATACTCTGAGATTGTTCTATTTTTTGCTGTTTTCTGACAAATGTATTTATATACATATTTAGTACTTTCTATGATACTGTCTATTATATCACAACAGATAAATGACTTCCTTCATAAAATAATAACAATGAGAACATGATTTCGTAGATTCATGAAAATATAGAACTCGTTCCATAATATCTGCCCTAGTTTCTTAGTGCTGCTGTAACAGAAATACCACAAGTGTGTGGCTTTAATGAACAGAGGTTTATTTCCTCACAGTTTAGGAGGTTAGAAGTCCAAATTCAGGGACCTGGCTCTAGGGGAAGGCATTATCTTTGTTGCCTCTTGGGAAGGTCTTTGTCTCTTTTCAGCTTCTGTTCCTCAGTTCCTTGGCCAACTTCATGTGGAGTGAAATCTATCTTCCTCCATTTGTGATTGCTTCCTCCTTTGCCTAATCTGCTCCTTTTATCTCAAAAGCAATCGGCTTAAGACACACCCTACACCGATATGGCCTCATTAACATAACAAAGAAAACCCCATCCCCAAATGAGATTACATCCACAGGTATATTCTTCTTGTTGTTGTGTGCAGTTGAGTTGATTACATTGAGTCGATTCCAACTCATAATGACCCTACAGGACAGAATAGAACTGCCCATAGGGTGTCCAAGGTTTTAATCTTTTCCAGAGCAGATTGCCAGGTCTTTTCTTCTGCAGAGCCTCTGGTGGGTTCAAACCATCAACTTTTCAATTAACAGCTGAGCGCTTAACCATCGCATCACCAGGTCTCCTTGTCACAGGTATAGGGGTTAGGATTTACAACACATATTTTTTGGGAACTGCCATGCAGTAAATTATTTAATATGGCCCTTTTAGCCATGCATGTTCTTGTAACTTCCACACAGTGATTGGGTGGGACTATGCAAATAAGGTATTTGTGGCCCACCAAGGGGAATGGACAGCATTGCTAACAATGCAAACAGGTGCATGGCAGCTTGTGGGGGTGGGACAATGCAAATAAGGTGTATGGAACCCTGATGAGGGGATTGGTCAGTTTTGCCATCCCACTAAGATTAAAAGAGAGTCAATCCCAGAGTAGATGGGGGGACCTCACTACCACCAAGAAGAAGACACGGGAGAGGAGATCACGCCCTTTGGACCCAGAGTCCCTGTGCTGAGAACCTCCTAGGCCCAGGAGACAGACAGAGTTGTAACACCAGAGATGATGCAAGATGGTGAGAAGTGACAGCAGAGAAACGGCAGCAGCAGAACCAGAAGACAGGTGCGAGATGGCATGGTGGGCATCTGGGCCTACAGAGCAAGACAATTACAGTGGTCATGCGGACTCACGGAATGAGAAAGCTGGAGGCCTTCAGGAAGGAGGATTCCTGGTGGAGTGGGGTGCCCCGAGGCACTTGTCGGCAGAGACAGGCTTGCCAACCCACGGAATGAGAGAGCTGAGTGCCTTCTCTTAGGAGGCTTCCTGGTAGAGTGGGGTGCCTCTGAGCACTTGTAAGTGGAGCTAAAGAGCTTTGTAACACTTGATCAAGCAGGGCAGAGGCCACACCGAGGGGCCCAAGGGCCCAGGGGCCAAGGGAGAGGCCCACCTGTGGGCAAGGCCAAAAAGCTGTCCTGACTGAAGAACTGTATCTTGAGTTTTGTCTGATCCTGAATTGTAACCTGTTACTTCCCTGATAAACCCATAATCATGAGTATTGTCTGTAAGTTCTGCACGGCCATTACAATGAACTATCAAACCAGCAGAAAAGTAGAGTGTGCCATGGGAAGGATGGCTGGTGTCAGAATTGGTAAAAAAGTTGGAGATAGGAGGTACGCCTGACCTCCACCTCATAGGAATCAGTCTTGGGCTGATGTTGATGGGGAATCCCCCTGCCCTTATGAAGTTAGAGGGCCTCTGATGCCACTGTGTCATATTTACAGGGACACAATTCAATCCATAACAATACCAATTCTCTGATACCAATGTAGCTGAATTTCATGCTGACAGCATCCTCACAACCAGTATATATAAAGATGTTCCTTTCTTTTTGTATTCTCTGGGCTACACTCAATTGACAGTTATTGGAAAAGGTATTTCTTTATGTCTGGCAGTCTACCTAGTCCAATTCTCTGATGAGTAATGAGGAGTGAGTTTGAAAGAAAGCTTATTCACATTCACTGCAGTCTTCAGGTTTCACTCCTATGTAAACTCTGTGGTACAATGAACTATTCCCTCTCAATGATAACTTTCAGATATTCACGTCCTTCATAATTTTTCTCCTCTATGAGACGTCTGATGTAAAATGAGTCTGAATTTGTGGGAGAAAGTTTTCCAACACTCACTGCATCCATAAGGCTTCTCGCCTGTGTGAGTTCTTTGGTGTATAATAAGATGTGATTTCTGAGCAAAAGATTTCTGACATTCACCACATTCATGAGGTTTCTCTCCTGTATGTGTTTTCTGATGTACAACAAGGCTAAACTTGATAGGAAATGTTTTTCCACATTCACTGCATCCATAGGTCTTCTCTCCTGTATGTATTCTCTGGTGAATAATGAGGCTGAACTTGTGGGGGAAAGTTTTCCCACATTCAGTGCATTCATAAGATTTCTCCCCTGAGTGAATTCTCTGATGGATAAGGAGATATGACTTCTGACTGAAAGCTTTCTGACATTCACCACATTCATAAGGTTTCTCTCCAGTGTGCGATCTCTGATGAATGGTGAGGTGTGACTTTTGGGTGAAAGCTTTCTGACACTGACTGCATTCATAGGGTTTCTCACCTGTATGAGTTCTTTGGTGTAGAATAAGACTAAACTTGATGGAGAACATTTTCCCACATTCGTTGCATCCATAGGGTTTCTCTCCTGTATGAGTTCTCCAGTGAGTATTGAGAACTGACTTTACACTAAAGCCTTTTCCACATTCACTGCAATTATAAGGTTTCTCTCCCATGTGAGTTCTCTGGTGTCTAATGAGCTCAGACCTCTGGATGAAGGCTTTCCCACATTCATTGCATCCATACGGTTTTTCTCCTGTATGAGTTTTCTGATGTAAAATGAGACTAAATTTAAGGGGGAATGTTTTGCCACATTCACTACACCCATAGGGTTTCTCTCCTGTGTGAGTTCTCTGATGGTTAACAAGCTGTCACTTATTGCTGAAGCCTTTTTGACATTCATCGCATCTGTAGGGTTTCTCTCCTGTATGAGTTCTTAGCTGTAAATTAAGTTGTGATTTATCATTGAAGCCTTTCTGACATATACGACATTCAAAACATTTCTGTCCTGTGTGAGTTCTCTGATGTTTATTAAGGCATGACTTATCAGTAAAGGCTTTCCCACATTTATTGCATTCATAAGGTTTCTCTCCTGTGTGGGTTCTCTGGTGTAAAATGAGATTGCACTGCCGGCTGAAGGCTTTCAGACATTTATTGCATCCATAAAGTTTCTCTCCTGTGTGTGTTCTCTGATGCTTGATGAGGTCTGACTTCTCGGAGAAGGCTTTCTCACATTCACTGCAGTCAGTGTTTCTCTCCTGTTTGAGTTTTCCAGTGTTTAATAAGCTGTGACTTATGGCTGAAAGCCTTTGCACATTCATTATAGGCATTGTATTTTTCTATAGTATGAGTTTTCTCATACTTAGTGTGAAAAAATAATTTGTCATATTCATGCAGCTTCATTTATTACACAGCTTCTATTCTTAATAATGTGCTCTGGATTAGGTCTCAAGTGTTTTCCAAGTGTGTCAAATATATAAGATGTTTGCTGAAAAGAAACATCAATGTTTGAGCTCAGATGAGATATTTTTCCAAATTCATTATTTTTGTGGTGACTCGCGTCATTTCAAGGTTTCCTTGGTTTTCTTGGTGCCAGTCTGAATGTTTATCGATTTGCCAGGCATCTTCTAGGAAGGATACCAATGAATCAACCATGACCATGTAATAGAAGAGGTAGAATCTCATAGCAAAGGCAAAGGAGAGAAGAGGAAGTGAGACTGTGGGTGTGAAACAAAAGTCAGAGGTATTTATAAACAGAAGGAGAAAAAAAAGGGAAGAAACTACAAGAGGTATGAGACATACATAACATGAGAAGAGGAGAAAATTCATGAGCGCTTTAATATATAAGAAAAGGGAGCTGAGCTAAGGCCATGGATTAAAGGATATCAGGTAAACTGAGATGCCAGGGAGAAAGAGTAATGAGGAAAGCAAGTTCCATGATGAGACAGAGAGGAATCTGATCAGAGTACATAAAAGAAGGAAGTGTATTGTTTTACAAACCAAGCAAAATAGGGGCCATTGAAAGTTAACGGTGGTGAAATAATTTGGAAAAGCGAAGTGAGGATGAATGCACAACTTGAAGAATGTAATCAAATGTCACTGAATTGTACTGTAGAAATTGAGATGGTGTGTGTTTTGTTATGTATATTTTCACCACAATAAAATTTTAAAAACTATATATGATAAATAAAAACAGAATTTTAAAGCAAAACACACACACACACCAAAAAAAAAAAAGCAAGAGTTGTAATATGGAGTAATTAAAAAGTGGAGGCAATATTAAGGTATCTGAGGAACTCATGCCAGCTGTTGAGTTACATTCAAAGGTTTAAGAATTTCAAGAAGATTTTTCCAAACAACATTACAGAGGTATCTCCCATTACTGACCAACTGTGTTTTTACTCCCATTTCTGCCATAGGTTTCGTTTTTCACTTACTTACCTGGATGAACTTGACTCTGGATTTCTTCCTCTACTATCCATGGTTTTCCTTGCTCCAACTGGAAGACTGTATCTGCTTTGGGAACTTCATACCCTATTCATGGGAAATTATACAGGACCAATGGATCCAACTACTTGGGCTACAAACCTTTCTGAAAAATGAGGAAAATTACATTTAAAGGGCTGGACCATTTGCATTTTAGCAAAGTAAAGGCCTTTTACTTGAAAGGTAAGGGCAAAACCCTCTTTCAGGGGCCAGAAAGGTACTAAGAATCTATGACATATGAAACTCAAGTCTAAAAATGTAAAGCACTTATGAGGCCCCACCTCTTTTAGCACTGGGAAAGGAAAGGCAACTGACTGGGTATACTTCGTTACCCAGTGAAGCTCTACTTACCCACTGATACTAGGTTGCTATAATTCTCCAACATGACATCTTTGTAGAAGTTCTTCTGAACAGGGTCCAGTAGCTGCCACTCCTCCCAGGTGAAGACCACAGCCACATCTTTGAATGACAGTGAGCCCTGTAACAGAACATTCAGATTCATTCTAAAGGGATTACCATTGGTTAGTATTATAAAGATAAGGGGGAATTTTTTATAATAATTTTTCTCATGGTAAGTCATTTGGCTGCCTACTGTGTACTAGTTTTGCATCGTTGTTGTCAGTTGCTGTAGATTTGATTCTGATTCCTGAAGACCCCACGTGCAGTAGAACTGCTCCATAGGGTTTTCAAGGCTGTGACCTTTAGGAAGCAGATTGCCAGATCTGTCTTCTGAAGTGCCTCTGGATGGGTTCGAACTGCCAACCATTGGGCTAGTAGATGAGTGCTTAACCGTGTGCACCACTCAGGGACTCCTTAGTTTACTTTGTAAATACTCCTCGTATGCTTTGTAAATGTAAATAATACAAACACCAAACTTTTCCTTAAAATATACTATCCTTGTGTATCCATTCACAAATATTGAATGAACATACTATTCTCTTAACTGTATGTATTATCAAGAAAAAAAGGTAACAGTTTCCATCGAGTTGATTCTGACTCATGGCAACCCCATGTGCTGCACAGTAGAACTGCCCTGCATAGGGTTTTCATGGCTGTGACCTTTTGGAAGTAGATTGTTAGGCCTTTCTTCTGAGGTTCCTCTAGGTGGGTTTGAACTGCCAACCATTTAGTTAGTAGCCCAGCATTTTATCATTTGCGCCACCCAGGGACTCCGTATGTATTACTGCTGTTGTTGTTGTGTGCTGTCACGTCAATTCTGACTTATAGTGACCCTATAGGACAGAGTATAACTGCCTCATAGGGTTTCTGGGCTGTAATCTTTACAGGAGCAGATTGCCAGGTCTTTTATTAAACCTCCTCAAATTCATTGGAAAAGCAAGTGGGAAATAAACATATCAACAAACAACTCACCTGGGACTTGGTCATTTTCTGCTGTTCTTGGACTCAGTCAACAACTCTAACACCTAGTCTGTTCTTGATTCTATGTGCTCTTCTCTGAAACTCTAGTAGGTCTCTAGCAGGTCTGGTAGGTCTCTAGCAGGTCTAGTAGGTCTCTAGTTGATTCTATGGCCTCCTTTTCCTTCCCTCATAGGAGCTATCTTATCCCAGGAAGTCCAAACTTGAGGATTCAAAGCAAAATCACTGTGGCTGGAGGCAGTTAACAAAGCAGAGCTGGTAGATAAAGAAAATAAACAATTAGCCACCTTGGAAATAAAAAACGTATTCATTAAAGTAATAATAAAATGAAATAATAAAATGAATGTTACTAAACATGAGACTACACTTGGCTGAAAAAAGAGCTAATGGATTAAAAGATCATATTGATAACTTCACCTAAAAGGCAGAGCAGAAATAAAAGGTGATAATATAAATACAAAGGGGGTTTTGTGACAAGTAGGATAGACTGAGGTCCAAGCAGGATAGACTGACATGCCCGATAAGATTTCCAGAAGAACACATAAGAGGGAAAGGGAGAGAAGCACTATCTGAAGGGAAAAGTAGCTTAGAATATTCCAGAATGGTTGAAACGCAAAGTCTTCTGCTGACATTTCACATTGAGAACTGGAGAGGCTCGACACAAATAAAGCTGCACATAGACACATTTTGGTGAAGTTATAAAATATCTAACAAAAAGAGAATATATTAAACACTATCATAAAGAAAAGATAGTTCACCTACAAATGAGACTATTGGAATTAGCAGCAACAATAGATCCCAAAACACAATGGAGTAATAGTTTCAAAGTGCTAAGATAAAATAACTCTCAACCTGAATTTTGGATCCAAATCACCACTACTGGGGGCAAAACAAAAATATTTTGAGATAAAATTAAAAGTAAATGAGTTAAGCTCATCTACTAAACACAGATCATGAGATATAAGGTTTAACAATAAAAAGCACATTTAATTATATGTGGCTTTCAGGAGACAAAACCCCAACCTACTGTCAAAAAAAAAAAAAAAAAAAAAAAAGGAAAGCAGATGATATGGGGCCAAAACATATATAACAGGGCAATATTAATCAAAAGAAAGTTGTTGTAGCAATGCCTTTGAAAGCTTATCATTTTAAAAATTGTTAAACGATGTATTTCACCAAGAAGAAAAGAGAACTAAGAGGGAAGGTGGGAAGGAAAAGGAACAAAATTATAAACAGAAGCTGGTTGTATTGATTGTTTAGAAGATACATACATGCATATACATGTACATATATTCCTAAAGAAGATGAAAAGTGAAACAAAACTACTGATGACAATAACCGTTTTGGGGCTAGGTTGTATATACATATATTTGTTGAGATGTTTCAACAAATGGATGCAGTGCTAGAGGTGCTCACTTGTCTATGCCAAGAAATTTGGAAGATAGATACCTGGCCAACCAACTAGAAGAGATCCATATTTGTGCCTATTCCAAAGAAAGGTGATCCAACAGAATGAGGAAATTATCAAACAATATCATTAATATCACACACAAGTAAAATTTTGCTGAAGATCACTCAAAAGTTGGTGCAGCAGTACATCAACAGGGAATTGTCAGAAATTCAAGCCAGATTCAGAAGAGGATTGCTGGTGTCAGATGGATCTTGGCTAAAAGCAGAGAGTACCAGAAAGATGTTTACCTGTGTTTTATTGACTATGCAAAAGCATCGACTGTGTGGATCATAACAAATTACAGATAACATTGCAAAGAATGGGAATTCCAGAACAATTAATCTTGCTCCTGCGGAACCTGTACATAGACGAAGAGGCAGTTGTCCATACAGAGCTAGGGGATACTGCATGGTTTAAAATCAAGAAAGGTGTGCATCAGGGTTGTATCCTTTCACCATACTCATTCAATGTGTATGTGAGCAAATAATCTGAGAAGCTGGACTATATGAAGAAGAATGTGGCATCAGGATTCGTGGAAGATTCATTAACAACCTGCATTATGCAGATGACACAACCTTGCTTACTGAAAGTGAAGAGGACTTGAAGCATTTACTGATGAAGATCAAAGACCACAGCCTTCAGTATGGATTACACCTCAACATAAAGAAAACAAAAATTCTCACATCTGGACCAGTAAGCAACATTATGACAAACAGAAAAAAGACTGACGTTGTCAAGGATTTCATTTTCCTTGGATCCACAATCAACGCCCATGGAAGCAACAGCCAGGAAATCAAATGACGTATTGCACTGCGCAAATATGCTGCAAAAGACCTCTTTAAAGTGTTAAAAAGCTAAGATGTCACTTTGCTGACTAAGGTGCGCCTGACCCAAGCCATGGTGTTTTCAATCACCTCATATGCATGCGAAAGCTGGACAATGAATAAGGAAGATCAAAGAAGAATTGATGCCTTTGAATTATGGTGTTGGCGAAGAATATTGAATATA